TTACAACATTTTCAATTGAAAAATTTATAAGATCTTACAATGAATTAGAAGATTTTGCCATAAGCAACTTTTTCAATTTGACTGATCCCTTAGGAATGGGAAAAAAATTTAGTAACTTTTGCTGCTATATGAGATGGAACTGGAAAGAAGAAATATTCTCTCTTCCCTGGATTGCATAGTTTTAGCGTATAGTGAAGTAATAAAATCCAACTTGCACCTGTTAAACTCGATCGAATGTTAAATCTTAACTCTTTATATTCATTAAGATATAAAGTTTAGTTAACTCGCCTAGTGAGTTAAGGATTGAGAGTGATTTATAGGCGATTTGAACTCGTGAAACTTTTGATTTTCCTTACTTTGACGGAGACTTCTTCGATTAGTGAAAACCTTCCGAAGATATATCATAAGATAAGGAAGATATTATCATAAAGAGATATAAGGCAATGACCCAGGGTTACGAAGGAAGGACAGGTAGGAATTAAGGATAATTTAGTTGGAAGCAAGGAGAAGAGTATATGCTTTAATTACATGAAAGAAACTTCTACACCTAAATGGCGAAAGCCTAGGCTTCAGTTATTTGGGGAATGGAACTGCACTTAGTCTTTTCGATTACTTTTTTTTGTTTCAGCGATCCCATTCCCCATTAGTTTTGAATAGTGCCCTTCTCCATTGGCGTTTTAGTGCTGCACTCTAGGTCTCACCTAAGATCCTTAGTCTATCCGAGGCTATCATTAAACTGGGTCACGATGAGAACCGAGTCAGTACTTCTTTACTTAGGGAAGGGGTTTCCCGGGAGATATCTTCTGGTTTCGTTGCGGCATTAGAATAGAATGAGTTGCTTGTTTTAGCGCGCATCGAAGCGACTGCGTGAAAGACCACCCCCCCCATTGCCTCAGTGCTCTCGCTTGCTTTGCTGTTCTTAAGCCTCTTCAATCCTGCCCTGCTTTGATTTCTTGCGCTTCCCTTCTTTCTGGGCGCTTGCCTGGATCGGCTATCTTACTAGCAGTATTGCTGTTTCTAATTTGGAGCTTCCCCTTTTTCCTTTTATCGAGCATAAATGATTCATTGGGCTTTTTTTTTCGCGTAAAATCTTTGCCGAAAGAATTTTCCTTATTCGGGATGGCATCAGATGCGGTGGCGGTAGCGATTATTTATGGGTATTATTCGGTGCCAGTTGGCCTTCTTGGAAAGTTTTCACTTCAAGAAACCAATCAATACGAGTATCCGATAGCGTGAACTTCCTCACCTCAGTATCTTCCATTCATGTTTCGGGGCACAGGTATTCCCATCAGTTATTCAAGCTATACGCCCTTCGCTCTTCGGTTACCGACACCGGCCTTTCCCTTATTAGATTATGGGGCCAGGCCAGCTTTACAACCTTACCTGGTAGGCTATCTGTGCTTTATTTAGGACAGGTCTCCCGGTTCTTATTCTGGTATAAGGAGCCATTCGACCCGCGCCTCTTTTCTTCTTTTTAACTCATCCACCAAGTAAATGTTGGGTTTTTTTTTTAGTTCTTTGGCATTTTATTTCTTCCTTCGTGGACACTTTTTTCTCTCTATCTTGGGCATTCATATTCTCCACCGGTACCTTCAAATGATAGGGTCTCCAAGTCGATGTTCGACTCGTATACTAGCAGCTAATCCGCCCATTAGAAAAGCCTTACCTTTCCTTGGCTTGGGGAGTGTGCTGTCTTCCCTCTTCTGGCTCTTTCCGGTAGTTGAGTTCGTTTTAAATGAGGTAGGATATCGAGTTCAAGGGCTAGGCTAGGAAGTAGCTTCGACATGGATAGATTGACTGAGACAGGCTAACGCTTCGTGAGATTATTTCAGCTCAGTAGAACTTTTTCGGGAAGCAAATGCAAAGCAGCGGCAAGGGGGAGACCCACTTTATCTAAGCATTACTCTGTTCCTATCCAGGATTTCCCTCGAATGGACTCGCTTGCTTTCTGCTTTATTCCAGCTCTATATCTCGCTAACTTTGTTAGCTTCGGGATTTCAAGCTTAGGGTAAGATTAACTTCAAAGGGCTAGGTAGCGGGATAGCATCAAGCACATGACTGTAGAGTGTTTTTCCCAGCTTACATTCAGGGGAATGGAAGAAAACTCAGGCAGGTCAAGCCATTGTTCCGAGTGAGGGGACTACTCTTTCTCTGTGAACAAGCATTCTTCGTCGCTCTTCCCGCACAGGCACGGACTGCTAGCTAAGATAAGAATCTCCCATTGCCAACTAGAGAGCTCACTTGAGCTATATTCGTTCTATTAAGAAACAAATCAGGACTACGTACCTCTCATATACTCGATTTCACTCGCAAGTCTTTGTTTCTCAAAGCTCATGACAAAAAATTATATATTTCTTTGTGCTGATAAGACTGATAGTTCGTTCCGGGCAACATTTATATCTAACTGATCATGCTGCATGAAAAGCTAATCATTATCAAGGTAAGAAAAACAAACCCATTCAAGCTAGCTGGCAAAGAAAAATGTCCCGATACGGGAAGAAGCGTAGGGCGCTAAGAGATTCGAGAATCTTACCAGCCAGCTCATTAGCTAGGACCAGCACAATTTTAAGGATGTCTTGAGCTTGATCTTTTATTTAAAAGAATACTGGGGAATAGAGAGAAATCAGATGCTAGAAGGTTGTGTTCAGATGGGAAGTGGGACTGAGGAGGATGTGGAAGATTGGACTGTCGATCACGTTTGGAAAATTATATTACTATACTTTACTTAACGACGCCTTGAAAGTAAAACTAGATTCGTGCGTCGTGGCTTATACTCGTACGCATATCGAACTCAGCCAAGAAGTCTTGCCACCCTTGCTTTGCTTAGGGCTTGAGCTTCTTCTGTGTTTGAAATTTGGACAGATAGTGTTCTCCAAGTGCAAGACAGTGACTATGGCGGCCATCTCCTTTTCGTGTACTGTGTATTTCCGGCTCGGGGCAGAGATTACTTATTAGTTCAAATAGGCCTAGCTATTATTGTCCCCAATGAATGGGGAAAGCGAGGGACAAAAAGGTAAAAGGGAGATAGTTAATTGAGCCATTAGCTATGGTTCGCAAAAGAAAGGAATTAGTCCGGTGAATTAGGAGCTCCCATTTCCTCAAGCTCTTGTAAGAATATCCCATCCAATCCCCATTCCTGTTAACTTTATTGAAGGAATCCTGGGGCGACAGGGTTAGAACCTTACTAAGCTTAGCCTTAACTTTGGCAGTAGGAATTGGATATTAAACCGTTAGGCTAGGCGAGGAACAACTACCACTTACTTGTCGGGGCGGTAAACTCTTACTTCAAAGTTCGCTTACATCCCCAGGGATTTTGCCCTATTATATTATTGACCCAGTGACTTCGGCATCGAGAACTGACTCCCAGATCAGCCTAACGACTTCTTTTTTAAAGCTTAAGCAGACAGATCCCTATGACAATATCGTCACCCGTGTGGGCTATGAGTTGAACTTACCTGTAATTAAAAAACTGTTGGACATGGGTTTATACTTTTTTATTAAGGAATATCCCACATTGCTCGACAACTAGTCTCTTTTTCTGTAAAAGATTGTGCTTAAAATGAAGTTCTTTACTTCTTACCTTTCCAGAAGGAAGCCTACGACAGCTACTTTGATTTATGAATTCGGTGTTAACGATTGCTGATGTGAAGCGGGAAAGCATACTTGATGTATCAAGGCCGCTACGCACCTCTTTTTTCTGATAAAAATTTAGGCGATTATAGAAACCCCCGAAAACTCTGGTTTCCTGCTACAGATCTGCCGAGGCCAGTGTATTCGGAAAACCCTTTTTTTTCTGGGGAAAGAAAAGATATAGAAGTGCCGATAGGTTCGATGGGAGTCCACAGTGGGCTACTGGGCGGCAAAGCTTCTTAGTACTTCGCAGAAGAGCTAACCGTTCAAGTCCTTACCATCTTGACTCCTATCCTTTCGAGATGGCTTTGAAATAGAACTAGTCCTTCTGATACCATCCTTGTCCCCGCCTAATTATCTTATCGAGGAAAAAGAAAAAGTCCCATCTGGATAGCAGGAAGGTTCTTTAAGAAGACTTGACTGTCCGGAAAACTAGACCCGAATGTCGTTAGCAGTAGCAGATTTAGAAGAGAAGTTAGTTTGGTTGGTGGTACATGAGGAGTTGTTACTGAATATCTGTCCTTTCCTTTCCTTTGGTCGAGCCTACAAAGCTTCCTTGACAAGCTAAGAACCAGGAACAGACTACGATTAGAGGCGAGCTACTTATTCTTATCCATTTTCACTGATCTGCCTAATTCTTGAGGATAGTGCGTTAAGAGGACGTTTTCCGCTTTCGATTGCTTCTTCCTGGGCATGAGGTTTCACTCCACTAGAACCATCCACGAGTCAGATTGAAAAACTATGGGTTTTTA